ACCCTTAATAAAAATGTGTTGTTCCCGTTAACGACTCCCATACCCGCAATGGTAAGCATGGAAAAAGAGTGTTGGATAAAGATACTTACCTTCATTTCAGCTCTTACTTTTTGTATGTGAGTGTTTTAATGGGAATGTGGATCTTTCAGATCAATTTGAGAAGTACCTATGATCTCAATCCACATTTTATTGTGTGTCATGTAATGTGGGGAACTGGTCTTGGTCTTGACTTGGTCTCAGCTCCTAAAAGGCTTGGTCTTGAACTCTGGGCTGCGTTCGAAAAGTCTTTTTGCTTAGGAAGGTTCCTAACTGAGTGAAGTGAACGGGTATTTCAGTGGCAGCCATGATTGGATAAGAGCTCTTCGAATTCTCTAAAAGCTTAGGAAAGGTGCCTCAATGCTTCCTTTCATATCTCCTTTAGCACAGGGTACACCGGACCAGCCTTTATGAATGGAAAGGAGAGAATGCCATCCCACAATTCCTTGGGCAGCAACATTTAAAGCAGCTCACGTTCTCAAACTCAAATAATATCAACCACATTTAGCAAGATCCTTGCAATACAGACGCACATTATGATACTTTAATAAGACTCACAATTACCTTCTTTCTTTTGGTTTGTTTTCTTTCAGCTTTTTTGTAATCTAATACTGTTTCAACACCGTTTTATGTTTCGGGTTGTTGAAATAAATAAATAAATAAATAAATCACCAACCCTGATGGATAAAACAACATGGTGATAAAAGAGGTTGATCACCATGTAAGTTACCGTTGCCTTTTCTCTCTTATGCCATAACTTGCTAATTTGCATATGGGTTATCTTAAACTGTCAACAATAACTGAGACCCATGCGAGCTGTCTTGTAACATGATCAAAGTGAGGATAATGTTGCAGCCTGTAGCCTCACGTTATGTACTGCAGCCTTCAGCAAATTAATACTTTAGTCACAGATGCTGACACTCTTGCCTTAATAAAGGCAAAGATCAAGCTGGATAACCTCTACAGTAGGCATTTCCCACACACTGATTTATTTGTGGCGGCCTGCCACATTATCAACGCTGATTTTCAATTGATTTTGTTACTATTTAAAATGGGTAAAATCGTATTTGATGACAGAGCTCCGCGCAGTGCATATATTCTCTCAGCACCTCCTCTCACCGGGTCTCGGTTTGGGCGTTCTTGACTACAACACTAGTTTAGTGTTTTAGCAGTCGTGAAAAACTGTAATTGTGTGAAATGCCTTTAAAAACATAAGTTTGACCAAGTGCTACAGGGCGACCAAACTCTTTTTCAAACTGTTCCAAACCCTCTGGTGACACCTTCATCTTGATTTCAAGCCAGAAAAGAAATGCACCACCTTCAATTTTCAGGAATTGCTCTCTCAGTCCTGACCTATCAAACAAAGTGCAGGCTGGAGAGTTTTTGAAAGCCATAAAATCTCAGCACCTGGCAAAGTTATCGGTGAGTCACTGCAATCGATCACAAGCCCTGTTAAACCACTGTTTGTTTTCTGACTCCTGAGAACCTGAAGGGTTAATGTGCAGCCAAACACAATTTATTTATCCCAGTGAAGAAGGTGCTGTCCTTACTAAACCTACAAATCTGTAAAAGAGCATTGGGAGAACAGCACAGTTAATCTGATTCATCTTTCCTTGACCTTATGAAGAAAACTACATTAATGAAGAATTTATTTGCAAAGATTTAGCACAATTTTAAAAAAATATAATGTTTTGGCTGATGGAGCAGTTTGGTTAATACTTGTGACAGAGCATGAACCTACCTGCTTATTCTCTTAAATCACGCAATTGAACAGACGGCGATACTGTGTTCTTTCGTTTTTTGGGGGATGTAAATCTCTTGTGGCTGCAAACAGCAGTTGGAACAACAGCAGATGGACTCGTAACACGTTACTAATGGCTTTTGTCTGCACACACTCAGCCACAGCAGAAAAGTAGGAGGAAAACAACAAGAGTTTGTTGTGGGGGATTCATTTTGACCTCAGTCCTGCCCACAGGGGCTCAGGGGAATATTAGATTATGAGGCAGCCAGACTCAACATCAAACTTGTTGTGCTGAAAGGTCACTAACACCCTAAAACAAGCATGGCCCCTGTCCATCGTAAGGACAGAACCCACTCTTTTTTTGACCCCATCATGGCATCCTCATTGATTACAAACTCACAGTGCTGAGTGTTATGTTTTTTTTGACGTAAAAACGAGTCAGCTAAAATACTGGAAATCCTAGTTGAATATTAATTGATTGTGTTACTTTATATTTGTTTCGAGAATTTTGTTCTTATTGTACCAAGGCCAACAGACTGGATTTTTAGTTTTTATGAATGAGTAAAAGACTAAACCAGTCCTTAAAAATACCCTGGTACTGAGCAAAGGCTGAGCTTAAGCCACAGATCATAAGGAGCTATGATTTCAAAGGACAGTAATTGGCATAAAGGACCCTCAGACATTTACACTTCAATGTAACCCAGCCTTCCCATTGTTGTTTTTTTATTAATTTGTTTTTCTATATAAGCATTTCATCTCGCCTATGATGAACCGGTCTGTTGCTTTTCGTCAAGAAAGAGTCAACTCTAAATTGGCCAGTGACATCATGTCACCCCAAAGTCCCATGACAGAGACAGATACTTACCAATCTGCTCGTGATTGTTCAGTTTTTCATATTACGACACTGTTTACACCGAGCCTGCACAACACAGTGACACCAGATGGATCGGCTCTCACAGGTTTTGCATAAACGGAGATTTTCTCTTTCAGCTGAAAAATAAACTGAGTTGGGTTTAATTGATGTGTTGAATTTTAATTTGATGAAAGGTAATTCATAGACACTTACAGAAACCACTGTAATTGGCTGTTTGGGGGCTGCTAGATTTGTCAATGACTTAAAAAAGCAAAGGAAAAGTCATACATCACCGGATAAAGACTAATCCCCTGTATTTTGTATTTAAAGCTTTTTAGAGTACATGGCCCCTGCCTCTCTAATTGTCTTTCCATCAGAAAATATAAATGGCAACAACACTGCACTGCATGGCCTATAAAGGGGCTCCACAACATACACCAACATCACACCAAAGGTTCACCTTACACTTCTTCATCTTTTATTTTTGCACGACAGCAGACAACTTAAGCAGAGGAAAGATGTGTACTGCACTTTGCAAAATATAAATCCAAAAACAGCAACAACAACAAAAAAAAATTAAAATAAGACTAAACAGAGGTAGTTTCTGGAAAAATAAATGCAACATAAATGCATTTGTTCTTTAATACTCAACCATTTATGGCCACTGTGGAAACAATGACCCCTTTTGCACATTGTATAAATAATTTAGCTTATAGTCTGGAGCATCAGCCCTTCTCAGTGCCATCTCAACTCTTTAAGGTCCAGTCAGAGATCAGAACAAAGACTGTCGTGATTTAGTCTGCTATTGTGCTTTTGCCATTTGTCTGCTGAGTTATGAATTAGCAAGATGACACTTTGGTGGCAGGAATACACACTCAAAGCATCCAGGTACTCAAAGAACACAGCTAAATTCCACCCTTACTGCTTTAGAGTCTGTTTACAGCAGAGACGCTCAAAACAAACAGCAACATCATGGCAAGCAGACAAAAAGATTTTAAATATATGTTTAATTTTTATCCTCAGAGTCAATATTTTCCTACCCAAAGAGGCTGCAAGATAATCTTTTATATTTTCTGTCAAATAACTGCCCTTTTCTTGTAAAATACTAGATAGTTTTGCCCTTCAGGCTTCTAAAAATGATTTGAATTGAATGATCTGAGAAAGGAAAGTCACTGTGGTTAAACTGCTATTGACTCACAGACATATTAAACATATGAAGAAGGGTCTCGTGTAAACGGAGATTCATTTTCATTGGAAACAAGCAAAAAAGACAGGAAACAACTGCTGTAAGCGCGATTGCAGGATCATCAACCATGGTGAACTGATGCCCCCGAGACCCCAGAACTCCGGGGGCCTGAGGGGCTCCAGGCTTACTGTGGGTTAACTAGTTTGTCCTAAGTGAATTGGGAACATTTTTATACCTATGCAGAACTAAAGCACAACACTGACATGATAAGGGCCTTAAGACGGGTTCTGCATTGTCACCTCATCTTTAAGGAATATTTTGACTTTTTGGGGAATTCGCTTATTCACTTGCTTGCTGAGAGTTAAAGGAGAAGGTCGATACCACTCATGTCTCTACGGTAACTATGTACCCGGCAGTTGGTTAGCTTAGCATAAAAACGGGAAGCCAGTTGGACTGGTTCTGTTTGAAAGGTAACAAAATCTGCCTACAGCTCACTAATTAACACTCTATTATTTTGTTTGTTTAATCTGTACAAAATCTGAAGAGTAAAAACTGAAATTCACATTTTCACAGGACCAGTAACTTCATAGAGTCTCCACCGGTTGCTAATATTAAGTAGAGGTGCTATGAAGCAGATTTGACCTTTATGTAGATTTGAGCTAGCTGTTTCACTCTGTTTTCAGTCGTTATGCTAAGCTAAACTAACCAGCTGCTTGCCCAAGCTATTCATCGTCCATGCACAATGGTGCTATCGATCTTCTCATAGCTCACGGCAAGAAAGAGAATCAGCATTTTCCCTGTAAATTGTAAACCTTTCAGCTAAGGCACTGTCTTGAAAAGGACATCAACAAACACACTCTCAGAGGCTCAACTACAAAATTCTTCTTCCATTGGCAACCTTTCATCTTCTATTTTGAATGTCTTCCAGCTGCCAAATGACTGAGCAACCTTTCTCTTGTACCCCTGTATGCTCTCTGACTATTAAATGTATCATTACTATGCTATTGTCATTGCCAGCATGGGCCTCTAGCCTTACTTGTTTACATGTTGGTTTTTTATTTTAATTTATCAACCTTCTTGCCTCTCTCTCTCTCTCTCTTTCTCATATATATATATATAACCTATTACATGTGTCTTGTACATGTATTTATATATTGTACTATTGTTTTTAGATTTAGGTATAATTTTCCATTTTACTTAATACTAGTATGGAGGGATGGGGGTGGGGGGACAATGGGGTTGAACTGTTTAAGGCTTGTTTATAAGATAGAAAGGGCCTTTATACTTTATTGTGAATTTCTACTGTAATAATAACGTTAAAAAAAGAAATCAAGTTTTAAAATCGTCATAATGTCAGTTTTGTGCTTATGTATGTTGCATATTTCCAAATGAATATGTTAAATCACCACACAGCAAACCTGTGGCCCAGTAGAATTATAGCACAAAAAGCATAGACACATTGCACAGAGAGTGGGAGGAACAGAAGTAGGTAGCAGATAAATCCTGCCATGTGTCTTTTGTGGATGTATAAAGAGCTTGATCAATGATGATACACTAATAAGCATTACAGCACACTTCAGTAAGAATCAAAGAACGGTGGCACTCACTAATCAGATTAGTACAGCCTGTAAGAAGCCTGTGAATGGTGTGAATGGTGTCAACTGCCATGACTGACTTACAACAGGACAATGAGACGTAACAGTGAATAAAGAGTGGCAGTAATAGACAAAACAGGCTTCCTCAATTCCAAATTTGATATTTCCTTTTCAGATTGTCATGGTGGTGCAGCAGTTCTGCCTCAGATCTAAAAAGACTTTTTCCATGACTTGCAGAGGATCTTCTGGAAGGCGCGCCGGAAGTCCCGGTTGAAGATGGTGTAGATGGCAGGGTTGAGGGAGCTGTTGCAGTAGCCAATCCAGAAGAAGAATTTAAAGAGCGGGTCAGGGATCCTACAGGAGTCCCTGCACACGCCGTACAGGCTGTAGCTAAAGAAAAAGGGGAACCAGCACACAACAAACACCCCCCATAACCACAGCCAGGACAAATGTAAACCTCTTTTCTCTAGCTTGAGAGACTTTTTTCCTGGCAAAGGAGCCTCTGCGACGTTTCCTCCTGGAGGCAAAGAGGTCCATTGACTTGTTACTGACTCTGGAGATTCGAGTGGATTGTTTGGAAGGGGATCTTTTCTTTTGGCTGGCCCTCTTCACTCTCGGGGAGTCCTGGCCCTGAGCTTTGTGCCCTTTGCCCTCTGAGGAGGAGCTCTCCTCCATGTCAGCATCCTCAGTCTGTGGCCCGATGGTGACGGTGCGTTGGCTGGGCGTAGGCGGACACTGACAGTGGCCGTTCTCTCTCTCGCCATGGAAATGGGAGGTGGCTTTGCTCAGTCCATTCTCAGTTTGTGTAACACCATCTGGCCTGGGGGTTTTCCCCGACATGGTTCTGGTTCTGGTTTTGGCCACCTGGTATATTCGGATATACACCAGGATCATGATTAAGCACGGAGCGAAGAAGGACGCGGTGCTGGAGGAGAGGATGTACCAAGTGTCATCATTCAGCTCGCACTGAGGCTGAGAGCTGATATCGTTGTTGCTGTCTATAGATATGAGAGGTGGAGATGAGATGAAGGCAGATATAAGCCACACAATTAAGATGATGCACTTGATGCGTTTGGGAGTCCGCTTCAGATTGTACTCTACAGCCTGCGTAACAGACCAGTACCGGTCCAGGCTTATTGCGCACAGGTGAACAATAGATGAAGTGCAGAACAAAACATCCAAAGCCAGATAAATACCGCACCAAACTTTTCCAAAATACCAGTAGCCCATAAGTTCATTCGCCAGAGAAAACGGCATCACCAAAGTGGCGACAAGGATGTCCGCGGTGGCCAGAGACACCAGAAAAAGGTTCTGGGGGGCTTTCAGCGCCCTGCTCGTCAACACCGCAATAACCACCAGAATATTCCCAACAACTGTAAAGAGAATGAGAAAGCTTACGAGAGCAGCGATGCCGGCTATCGCTGCTAAAGAATATCCACTGTCCAGGCTCCAGGAGGAATTCAGATGGATCACCGTGAACGCGTCCATCCCGCTGGCGTTAAACGAATCCATCCCGGCTGTGTGCGCGTTAGATATATCCTGGACCGGCTGAATGTCGGCATGAATTCACGTTCAGTCTTCTAAAGACTGAATAGTCCATCAAAGGCACGCAGCTCCTCGGCAGACTGACACATTTGACTACATGGATGCGCGCGCTTGAAACGATTCCCACTTATCGGAGTCTTTGGTTATTTGCAGCCTGTTGTTCATGCGTATCATAATAACTTACTTAAATAAAAAAAAGAATCTCCGGTGCACCCTGTCAGGGGTGGAGTGCAGTCCAACCGCAGCTCTCCCTCCTTCAGCATGGTGCGCTCTAATGATACCCCATGTGTTGTTCTCACAAAACTCACCCCACGCTGCCCCGCCCCCGGCACAGAGGGTTATTGTCATAGTGTTGGAATATGATAAGGCTAGAGACATTTTTTTCTAGGAATACAAATTATTATTTTAGTATTATTAAACTATAGCAAAGCTGATTATTTTTTCTAATTGACTCAAGGTGAGGGAGAAGCCTGAGAAATAATGTGTTTTTAGTTTCTTGCCCGGTTTTCTCTCTTTTTACTAAACCTCAACTCACTGGAGGTCAGTATTGCTGCACTCACAACATTATAATCGTCTGGAACTGTAAAGCAAGCACGTTGTCAGGCTATTTAGGGGTAAAATAGAGAAATATGTGAACCAAAATCTCACAGGTTCGTGAAGTTGTTCATTTTTTATGGAGTGTTCATGTGGCGGCGGTTTCTAGGGAGAGAGAGTGGAGGAGTGGATGGGGGCTTTGAGGGAAGCTGAAGATGTGAGGCTTGTTGAGTTTTTGGAGTTGAGCTCATCTGCCGCGAGACAGGCTGCTCCTTCGGACACGCCTCCAGTGTAAATCAGGTACAGAAGATGGATTGAAGCCTGCTGCGTTTCACCTCCGCTCGTTTTTCATCGCGCATGAACACAAATATTTACGCACTGGACTTAAACATCAGGAAGTACAGCATGTACAGGTGTCTCTGTGTTTTATTGTTTTAACAGGTTAAACAAGATGTCTGCTGATGTATCAGTGTCTGTGCTGTATGAGGACCTCAGGGGGATGTGATTTTATAGGAAAGGAACAACACATTTCTAAACATTTTTTATTTTATTTTTCTCCTGTAAAATAGATTAGTGATATGGGAAGAGGCTCTTGTAGTCCTATTTTTATAGCTGCAAAGCAGAACAGTACACACAGCCTGTGATGGGAGTCAAGCAGCCACTTTTTTTAATTTTCAAGAGTCCAGAGCCAAAAAGGTTGAACTTTTCGCCATTGTGTAATTTCAGAGGGACATTGTAGTAAAGTAGAGCAAATATTTAGATAATGTTCCCCCCTTAAATATGTTTATTGTTCAGTTGGTCTTGACCTCACAAACTGCAAATAAACAGACCCATACCGTACCACAGCATTCCATTGTATTTTACTTTTGAAACTATAGCACACATTATTTATATTTACAAATGGTGCTGCAGTCCTCAACATATACATAAAGGTTAGAAGTGAAGTGTGTGGGCTGATGCTCCAGTCACAGAAGGACTGTAGTGAAGAAGGGGAGTATTGTGACTTGTAAGCATATATTTGAGTATATATTTGAATAGACTTGAATACACTTAAGATGAAGTGCTGTTCAATAGATTCATCATTCAAATATGATTCAAGGTTGTCCATGAGGGGGATTTGAAAAGACACAACATCAAATGTGATCATTGAAAGTCCTAAAGAAATGTACACATGGTAAGCCTTGGCTTCTAATGCAGTAATGTGAGAAAGACAGTGTAAAAAGGTATCCCAGTTCAAATAAAACATAAACAACCTGACAAAATGGGCATTGGCAGCAAATGATGATGTCAGGATATTTGGGGTGAGTTTTGAAATGTTATCAAATTCTTTCCTCTACAATATTAAGTTCTCCTCCATGCACAGACTGTGACTTAAAGGTGGTATTATGTTTTTTGCCTATTTCCCTCTCCTTTATTGAGTTATATATGTTTTTTGTGCATGTAATAGGTTTGCAAAGTGAAAAAGCCCAAAGTCCACCCAAAGGGTGTTCCCATCTCCCACAGAAAACTCTGCTCTGAACTGCCTGAAAACAACTTGTTTGTAGTCCAGCTGCTTCCCTTTCATCCCTGTGACATCACAGGGATGAAAGCAAAATACTCGTCATATAAGGCTTGCCAAGTTGCTACTCAGACACGCCCTCAAAAACACTGGTGGAAAAACACTGAGCAGCAGCACACACCTCTCCTCTCCTTTCCAAACACTAGCTACCCTACAGGCAGTCAGTGGACATGAAGTTGTTACTGTGATGTAAAGACAGAGCTCACTTAAAACTTTATGGATGAAACATTCTTTTGTTACAAAGTAATAACTCACCACTCTGAAACTGTTGCACCAGTCTACGTTGCCAAGCTGGTCGGCAACATGTACAACTGAACCGAAGCTGTTTACGGCTTCTCACTGACCCGCCCTTCTCTGCTTCTGATTGTGCAACTCCCAACAAAGATCATTTAGAGGCAAGATGTATTACTCCATAGCTATACGAAGCGTTAAACACACAGAGTGAAAAGAAGAGCTGCAGCAATGTGCAGTGCAACAAAAAATAGGGTGTTTATTGAAAATGAAACCATGTAAACCTGTTCTGGTACAACCCTTAAATAAGATTTTGAACCTGAAAATGAGAATAATAGCATGTCTTAAATATATCAATTACATTATATCATCACCGTACAAGTTGAAGCAAATTGAATCTCTCTAGACTGAAGGATACCTTTAACAACACACAAAGGGTTAACGTGCAGCTTTTCAGCCTGTTGTTATTAAATGTCAGCATGTCCTGCTTGAGAAAAGATACTTGTGACTTTTACAGGGCTCTCAAACATCTAGCCTCACAAGCAAGTCAACAAATTCAAGGCTTGCTTTGACATCTTCCAAAATGTGTATGTTTTGTGGTAGATGATGTTGCCATGTTATCAGTGTTTCAGTAAAAAAGAAAGACCTTTGACATCATCTACATGTTACGTATCTGGGAAACTGAAAAACAACAAGCCTTCCATTATCCCATTGGAGATGTAGAATAAAACTTTATTGTTCACCTCATTAGAAAATGTGGTCACCAAAAGCAGCACATGAACATGTAACACATGAAACATGTGAGGTAAGATGAGACGAAACAACACTTAAGTAGCCCCATGAAAATACAGTGAAAAATAGTGTTTCCACACTATTATATAAAAGGAAGAAACTTCAATAGTGTTTCTACACTATTTTTCAAGGTATGATGATACATTTTCACCATATGGAGACTTTAAAAAAAAATTGTCCTACAGTTTCTCCACACTGTAACGTTTGTTCGCTTAGTTTTCCTTTTAATTTGTTAGCAATTTTTCTTTCAACTTGAGGAGCAGGGAGAGTCAAGCCTTTGGTCTGTCCGCCCTGGAAGAGGGATCCCTCTTGAAGTTTCTTCCTTTTATTTCCTTTTAAATGATTTTCTCATGCTTATGATACAATCATACAACATCCATTCGACATGTGATATTCAAACTTGATACATACATACATACTTATTTACTTGACTAGTTCTGTAAACAGAGTCAGATAAGTAAAAATAATAAATACATAAATAAAAACAAGGTTAGCGTTTCATTATAGATACAATTGTGCAGCTTTATTAAACAGCCTTGTGTCAGTGACTTCAGTATCTGTTGCACAGGGAGGTGAGAGTATGACTCACTGTCTTACCTCATCCTAGTAGCTTGTCCAGAGAACTGAACCAGTGACCTCCCAGTCACAAGCCCGCCTCTGTCTGCTTCCTCATACAGCTCCCAGTAGCCTCCATACCGCTGCAGCTGCAGACCCGCAGGTCCAGGTTCACTTCCACAAATTTATAGCTGCCAAATGAGAACAGAACCGGCATAATTCATTCTCTTTATTGCCAACACTCCCAAGAAGTCACAGTTACGGTAATAACACGCTTTTGTTTCCTGACTTCCACAGTCAGGATACTGTCAACATCTGTATGAATATTGCACCAGATAACTTGTGTTGCCATGTGTATTCCTCAATTATTGATTGATACTGCTCATTGTAACCATATTCTTGTGAAACGCCAACCAACACAAAGAAAGAAGCCTGACAACCATTAAAAAAATGTTTGCGAGAGGAGAAGAGAGGAGGGTGAACAGGTACTGTAGTGGTGATCTGCAGGGTTTAAGATGTGTGGAGTGTGCAGGAGGAGAGATGAGTTTAAAGCCATCTCAGACAATTCATGTTTGAAGAACTCAGTGATGATTGGAAAATATGCCTCTGCTCTGCTGGTCTTGACTGTCGGTGTGTATCACCACTGTAGAAATGTTCTTCTTAACAAGCTGCGTTTGTTGTTTCTTAGAGCTTAGGTGTAATTATTTATGTTGAACGGCTTTCGAGATTTGGTTTAGACTGAAATGTAACAATTTATTTATCAGCGGATAGCCCTTTGAGATGTAGCATCTCGTTTTCAAGGGGGTCCAAAAACACAAATACATAATACAAAGACAAAACATAACATAACTGGTACACAAATACACATAAACATAAATACACAGAGCCAATACACAAAAACAGTTGTCTCCCTCGGCTGGTTGCACCTACACTCCAGGCCGACGACAACTGAAACAGAAGTTTAGAAGGTTTCAATGAACTTGCAACAAAAGGACTGACATATCAGAGTTCATACGTGTTATTTGTAGTATAATAAGTACAACACATTCAGTTGAAATACACAGGTCAGTTCACTTTACCTCACTGCACAATAAGGGACAATCACAACATTTTAAATTCAATGCCAGATAGTACCACATTAGGAAGGTGGAGGTCAAATCCACCTGAAGTAGATCATATAGATGTTCATCAATCGATAAACAGCACATAGTCAAACAAAGTGGATATACTTGTCAGCGTCAGGAAAATGCACGCAGTGTATTAAGATGGTGAAATATAGATAACCTAAATCTGCGAAAAGATGAGATGGATCTCAAAGAAAGAGGGAGATTGTTCCAGTAGCCTTATAATGAAAAGCCTTACATCCAGCAGCAGAGAATATGCTTGGTAAAGTGAAAACAAGATATTGCATGTCTCTTAGAGGATATGCAGAACTGCAATGGACAAAGAGATCTTTGAGATATGGAGGACAATTGAAGAAATAAAATAACAAATAAAGTGAAACTCTTCTTGAATTAAGCTGCAGCCAATTTCACACATTACACAATAATGAGTTTTAAATGGACACATGAGGATAAATCTACTCAGAGAATTAAAGAC